CGGTGGTGGTGGAGTCAAAGGGCCGCCAAGCCCAAGGCGAGAGAGAGATCCCTGGGAGAGCTCTCTCGTAGGTAGGCACCACTTCGTGTTACTACTTTAGCACTACCAGTCACTGGGACACCGCGAGAGTTCCCGTCTGGGATCTACCAAGGGTACCACCAACACAAACAAAAAGTAAGAGATTTGGGGAGAGCTCCTCTTTTTTTGCTCCTTTGGGGGTCAGTGACATGGTTAGTCGTGCTGCCCCCTGATGATGAGAAAGAGGCGGAGGAAGCTAAGGCTTTCGTGTAAGTTTTTTCTCTTGTTGTGGATCTAGAAGATGGTCTCGTTTCTAACTTCGCTTGGTTCTTGGTTTTTTTTTTTTGGCCTATGGCAGAGAGCGGTGTGAAGCCAAGTCGCCATGGATCCTAAAACTCCTCCTTGTAAGTTGTTAAAAGGGGGCCTTGTATTTTTTTTGCCCGAGCAGTTTTTTTTTTCCAACCTTTTCTTCTCCTGTTACAGGCGTAGTTATAGATCTGGAAGAAGAGGGAGAAGAAGAACAAGAGGAAGAAGTGGTGGAAGTGATGAGAAAGAGACCACGCATCGTTGTGAAGAGGGCCGCTGCTCCGTGTGACGAGGAGCCTCGGCCGGCAGGACCGCAGAAAAGAAAGAGACGGATGCAGCAGTTTTGCTACTCGAGCGGCAGCGAGGACGAGGAGGAGGAACCGAAAGCCGTGACCACCAGCACGGAGAAAAACTTGCGGAGGAAAGCATGGATCGATTACCACGACTCGGATAGCGAAACCGAAGGATTAAGTCAAGAAAAGGTGCGAGCAAGTTTTTCTGTGCTTTTCTTTTTCTAAAGTTTTCGGTACTGTGCTGGTGGCCAGATCTGTGACGACGAACTGCCGCTCGGTGTCATCCAAGGTCGTGCAGGCTCCAATGGTTTCCAGCTCGTAAGTTTCCCTGTTGACTTTCTAGTGATCTGTCAAGTCATTAAGTTCTCTCCTCTCGTTTTTTCTTTTTTCTTTTTTCTTTTGTGTAGATCATGACCAAGTATCGAGGTGAAGCTGGCCGAGCTCCAAATCTTGATCCCGCGCCTGTCTTCTTCCCTACAGAAGAGGTAACTTCTTCTTTGCTTTCTTTCCGTTTCGTTTCGCTTAGACGTTTAGCGCAGGAGTTCCAAGACACTCTGAAATACATCGAGAAGATACGGCCCCTCGTAGAGCCTTACGGTATCTGCCGCGTGGTGCCTCCAAAGTCGTGGCGGCCGCCATGCTCGCTCAAGGATAACGCCGGAGAAACCGTTCGTTTCTCGACCCGGGTCCAAAAGATCCACAAGCTCCAAGTCCGCGAGCCGACGACTTCGAGTCACGGGAAGAAGAGCCGACCGAAAGTCTCCAAGATTCTTACGTTCACTCCGCAAGCGGCCCAGCAGCAAGAGTTTTTCGGCTTCGAGCCTGGGCCGTCTTTCACGATCAAGGAGTTTGAGGCTTACGCCGACGAGCTCAAGGAGAAGTACTTTCAAGCCGGAGAGGAAGGCGACACGTCGAGGCTCGATCCTTCCGTCGAGCAGATCGAGCGGGAGTTTTGGCGAATCGTCGAGAGGCCAAGCGAGCAAATAGAGGCAAGACTTCTTCGTTTGTGTTACCACCTTTGTCTAACACCTGATTTCCAGGTGTTGTATGGAGCGGACATTGAAACCAATGTTTTCAAGAGCGGGTTCCCGAAATTGGCCACGGTGGCAAACAAGCAAGCCACTCCTTACGAGACGTCCGGCTGGAACCTTAACAACATAGCACGACTGAAAGGATCAGTGCTTGAGTTTGAAGCCGACGAAATCTCGGGAGTCGTCGTGCCATGGCTGTACGTTGGGATGTGTTTCTCCTCCTTTTGCTGGGTAAGTTAGCTTGCATCAAGGAACAAGGAACTAGAGAAACGAGAAGACAAACGCTGTTTACTTTTCTTTTTCAGCATGTAGAGGATCATCACTTATACTCGGTGAACTACATGCACTGGGGCTCTCCGAAAATCTGGTATGGAGTCCCCGGCTTTGCGGCTAGCAAGCTAGAGGCAGCCATGAAGAAGCGCTTGCCAGCACTCTTCAAGGAGCAGCCAGACTTGTTACATAAGCTGGTAAGTTTTTTCACACCTTGATCTTGGATCTAACGGCTTGGTTCTTGGCTTTCTTCTTCTCTCACGACCAGGTGACACAACTTTCGCCATCCATCCTCGCAGAGGAGGGAGTCCCGGTTTACAAAGTCGTCCAAAACACTGGCGAGTTTGTGATCACTTTCCCGAGAGCGTACCATGCCGGCTTCAACTGTGGATTCAACTGCGCGGAGGCTGTCAACGTTGCTCCAGTTAACTGGCTTCCGCACGGTCAGTCGGCCGTGGAAACTTACAAGGAGCAGCACCGAAAGACCTCCATCTCGCACGACAAGCTGCTCCTGGCATCAGTCAAGCAGGAGCTCGCAGAGGTCTCGGCTTCCGTCACTCACAGGCAAATCCTCGCGTCTGCTCTGAAAGTAAGCACAGAAGAACTCGTTTCTTTCTTTTGTTCGTGTTCTTGACGATTCCACTCGCTGCTCCAGGCTCGCCTCAACCTGGAATCCTCAAGACGAGCTGCTGTGAATGATCTGAGAGCACAAACCATGGACGTGAACTTCGACTCCTCGGCCGAGAGGGAGTGCTGCGTTTGCTCCTACGACTTACACCTCTCAGCGGCGGCGTGCCAGTGCTCGCCAGACCTCTACTCGTGCCTGGACCACGTCAAGAGCTTCTGCTCGTGTACTCCGGAGAAGAAACTCATCCTGTACCGCCACGAGCTGTCGGAGCTGGAAGAGTTCTTGCGAGAACTGGAAGGTCGGCCGCTGCCACCTCTCAAGTTTAAGATACATGGACCCCGGCCCGAGCTCAACAGGCAGCTCGTGGATCCCAGCAGCGGTTTAGAGAGTAGTAGAAGCTGGGAGGCGGCCTGCGGGGAGGTACTCAATCCGGCACCAGGCAAAGGCTTGATGGTGGTGGAGCCGCGAAGCGGTGGCGGGCCTCGAGTTGCTAGAGTTATTCGTCCCAGCAAGGCTTTCTCACCCAACATCGAGCTTGTGCGAACTGGAAGGCTTGTGCTCAAGCCGGGCTGGCACACCAAGCATGCCATTCTTCCAGCAGGTAAGCTTTCATTCGTTTCTCTTTTCGTACTTTCTTCTCACAGTTTGTGTGTGTCTGTGCTTGTAGGATTTAGAACGCGAGTCCAGTTTTACGACTACCTGGATCTTCCTCAAGCATGCTACTATATGTCCGAGATCTTGGATTGTGCAGACGGGAAGCCATTGTTTAAGGTACTTTGCGGAGCTTTTCTTCTTGGAAGGCATGGTTTTCTTATACTGTGTTCTTAAAAGGTGTCTATGGAGGGCCGGCCTCACGAGAAGATCGTGTGCTCCAGCATCGACTTTTGCTGGCAATCTGTGCAAGAGAAAGTCAACTCCAGGATCAAACAACTGCGCGAGAGTGGCAAGGCAAACTTACCGCCTTTGAGGCCTCCAGAGAGCCTCAAAGGCCTGGAGATGTTTGGATTCACGGTGCCTAGCGTCGTCAAGGTACGCTCTCTCGCGCTACTTTCCTTTTCCTTGACTTGGAGAGGAAACTCTCTCTTTCAGGCTGTCGAGACGCTGGATCCAAGACACTCGTGCGTCGAGTATTGGATGGAACGTAAAACCAACGACTTGTGGAGCTAGCCGTGGCCTCCTCTTTTGCGATCGTGATTCATTTAGGACTGATCGTAGTCGCGCTCTGATTCGAGCCAAACTAAACTGTTTTGCTGCTAATAAGCTGCTGCTGAGTGTAAATATCGAACAAGAAACTCTCACTCTTCTTCCATAGTCCTGTTTGCTAGGGGATCAAGTAGGACGAGGTGCTACCCAAAGTGCCGACTTTGCAGCTGTGTGTTCCTAAAACTTCTGAAGTCCAACACGGTTTTGCATAAATCTAAATTAAAGTAGATAATCATACATTTCTCCTATATAATTAGACTATATTTCTGCTCAAATAAGTGACAAATTTTACTTCATATGTTTTTTAAGTCTTACTTAATATTCTATTTCCTATTATTAATATTATCTAAAATATTATTATTACAATGGCATCATGACTAAAAAATATTATAAATTAAAATTTTAATAATTTTCAAATGAGAATTTTCTTATAAAGACATATATAATTAAAAATGACAATATAATGTGTTCTAAACTATAAACTTTATATTTTAATTATATAATAACTAAGGAATATCTTATAATATTATTTCTTAAAATAAATATTCAGAATACATTAATCCAGCTTCCCAAGTGGATTATGTTGGCTTGTATGGAAGGTGTTTGAACACTCTTGACACAAAGAAAGTTTTTGACAAACTAAAAGACCAAAATATTAATTAGTGGAGCATAATAATCTTGGCAATCTTTTACATACATTATGATGATAGAAAGTAACCATGTCCATTATGTAAAAAAGTAGAGATTTATGTAGATTCAAGTGTCTTAGTAACACAAGCTTTGAATTAGGAACATACTATGTGGTTTTTATGTTGAGATTAGTTTGATTCTTTGTTCAAGAGTTACATGTGTAAAAAGTGCTTCTAAAGGTTGTGTTATAAAAATCAAGCAGAAAGTAGAGGCCAAAGTCTATATATAATTATTAATCTTCCCATCAAATCTCTCAATCCTGGTTGGAGAAGTGAGAGCCTGTGTTAACATTAGATTAAGGAAGATTCTAAAATATTCCTGGCTATTCCCATAAAGTTTTCTAAAACCAAAATTTCATATAAGAAGCAGGACAAAATAGGAAGAATTAAATAAATAGGTTTTATAAGATTTGTAATTAAGGTAAATAGCATATAAACTGATCACCTATTCCCCTGCTTTACTTTAGATTGTTCTTGAACAGATCAACGAGCAAATCACAGTTTTTTCGGATTTCGCAGTGTTTTCTAAGGTCTTCTGCCCCAAGGGGTTGACTGAGGGTGTTCACATTAAATACAATCTTGAGCGCTCCTTGCTCCCCTGACAAGTGTTCGCTAGGATCAAGTAGGACGAGGTGCTCACTGGAGATAGCCTAAGTGCCGACTTTGCAGCTTTGGCAGCGATGGTGTGATCCTTTTGAGTGCTGCTCGCAGCAAGCAAGCACCTCCAGTCGATGGCGTCCGGCGGGAATGGCATCTCCGCGACAAGCTCCTTGGCCTCTCTCGTGTGCCCGGCTCGCGCCAGCAAATCCACCATGCAGCTAAACGCTAGCTTGCTCGGCTCCACTCCATAGTCCGCCACCATCGAGTAGAAGCATCTCCAGCCAGCGGCGAGAGCTCCAACGCGACTACATGCCGCGAGAACGCACACGAAAGCGGCCTCGTCGGGCTTGCGCCCGCCTCCAGCATCCATCTCCCGCAGCAGCTCCAAGCACGCCTCAAATTCGCCCTTGACGGCGTAGGCCCCGAGCAGGGAATTCACCGCCACTCCATCCCTCTCGGGCATTCCTTCCAGCAGCTTCTCGGCGTGGCGGACGAGCCCCTTGCTCGTGTAGGCCGAGACCATGGCGTTCCACGAGACCGAGTTCCTGACGGGCATGGCGTGGAAGACAGCTCTCGCCTTCCCCGCGAGCTTGTTTTGAGCGTAGGCCGCGAGCGTCACGGTCCACGACACTACGTCCTTGCCTGGGATCCGAGAGAAGAGAGTTTCCATCTCTTGGACGTGGCCGGTTTGAGCGTAGGCCGTGAGCAGCGACGTCCAGCTCCCGGTGTTGCGCTCGGGCATTTGATCATACAGGCTCGTGGCCTCCTCGAGCCGGCAATGCCCCTTTTGGGCATACGAATCCAGCATCGTGTTCCAGGAGATGATGTCTCGTTCAGGCATCCCATCGAAAAAGAGCTTTGCGTCGTCGATCTTCCCGGACAGGGTGTAAGCAGCCAGCATTGAGTTCCAGGACACCAAGTTTGGTTGCGGCACTAGATCAAACAGCCTCTTTGCTTGATCCAATTGCCCATCTCGGGCAAATGCTGCTAGCATCACGTTCCAGGAGACTGAATCCAGCTCCGGCATCGATGTGAAGACATTTTTTGCCGATTCGATGTCTCCACTTTGTGAAAATGCCGATAAGATTGCGGTCCATGAGACCAAGCTCCACTCCGCCATGCAATCAAAGACTCGTTTGGTTTGCAAAATATGCCCGGTTTGGGCATATCCGGATAGAAGAGCGTTCCAAGTCACAAGGTTCCTTTCTTCCATGCTGGAAAACACTCGGGTAGCCGAATCGAAGTCATTGCTGTTGATGTAGCTCGTCAAGAGGGCTGTCCACGAGATCACGTTCCACTCTGGGATCTCGTCAAACAGGAGCTTTGCTTGGAGGACATACCCCGAGTGAGCATACGCTCCCAAGAGAGAGTTCCAAACAACCAAGTCCCACGCGGGCATTCGATCGAACAGAGCCTTTGCTTCACGAATTTCGCCGCTGTGAGTGTAGGCGGAGAGGAGAAGAGACCACGAGTAGGAATTTCTCTTGTGGTCGAGGATGCCATCGAAGACCGCTCTTGCGGTGCTGGAACTCTTAAACTTGCCGTAGACAAGGATGAGAACGTTGGAGAGGTAGGTCCTGGCGCGCAGGAGCTCTGGATCGATCCGAGCATGGATGCTCTTCACCTGCGCGAGCGTGGTGCACGATCGGATTAGACCATCCAAGGCTTCTACTTCGACAGCACTGGAAGATCGAGAATGATCGAGCATTCTTTTGATCGATCATGGGTGTTCTTCCGAAAGAACCGGTCGACCACCTTCCTCACGCAAAAGATTGACGAGACCAACGTACGAGAAGGACGAGGTCTCGGCTGCCGCCATGGCCTTCTCTCCCAAGTCAAGATTCCTGTGAGTCATGCAAGCTCCAAGGATCGTCCCCCACGCGATCCCATGCGGCGAAAACGGCATCGTCTGGATGAGCTCCTCGGCCTTGGCGAGCTCCCCAGCTCGGGCCAGGAGATCGATCATGCAGCAGTAGTGCTCGATCCTGGGAGCCAGCTCGTAGTCGGAGGAGATGGATCTAAAGCAGCCGAGGCCCTGCTCGAGCAGCCCGGCGCGACTGTACGCTGCGAGCACGCTGGTGAGGAGGGATTCATCTGCTCTCACACCGTCACCTTGCAAAGCTCGAAAGAGCGCGATCGTTTCGGTGATATACCCGTTCTGGGCGTACGCTCCCAGGAGCAAGTTCCACGACACCAGATCCTTCCGAGGCATGAGCTCGAAGGTGATGCTCGCCTTCTCCATCAATCCGGCCTGGACGTAAGCCACCGCTAGCGCGTTCCACGACACCGAGTCCCACTGTGGCATCCGCTGGAACGCGAGCTCGGCCTGCCGGATCTTCTCGCTGCCGCTGTGAGCAAATGCCGCGAGGAGGCAGTTCCACGAGATTCTGTTCCTCACGGGCATCTCACAAAAGAGCCCGCTCGCTCGCTCGAGCTGGTCGTTTTGCGCGTAGCCCGCCACCATCGCGTTCCAAGTCACCACATTCCTCTCTCGCTCGTTCATGCCGTCGAAGAGCTCCTTGGCCTCGATGACATGCCCGTTTTGGGCATACGCTGCGATCATCGCGTTGCGAGAGACGACGTTTGGCCTCGGGGTGGCATCGAAGAGTCTCTTTGCTCGATCGAGCTCGCCGTTCTGGGCCAGGCCGACCATCAAAACGTTCCACGATATGACGGTCCACTTTGGAATCCGGTCGAAGACGAGCTGAGCCTCTTGAATCTTGCCGGACTGGACGTAAGCCACCATGATCGAGTTCCACGTTATCTCGTTGCAACACGGCATTGTAGCGAACAAGATCTCGGCCTCTCGGAGATGAATCTCGCTGGCCCCGGCGCCTTGGCAGTAAGTCGTGATCAACGTGTTCCAGGAGATGATGCTGTGTTGCGGCATGAGCTCGAAGATGGCTCTCGCCTCCTCCACGCTCGCGTTTTGGCTGTAGGCGGAGAGAAGCGCCGTCCAAGACACGACGGTCCTCTCTCGGATGCTCTCAAATGTGACTTTTGCTCGATCCAGATGCCCGTTCTCGCCATAAGCCGCCACCATTGTGTTCCACGCCACCACATTCTTCTCGGGCATGGACTCGAAGACGTGTGTCGCCTCGTCGATGTTGCCGCTGTTCGAGAAGGCCTGAAACATGGCCGTGAGCGTCACGACGCTGCGGCACGGGATTTTCTCGAACAAGAGCTTGATCTTGTGGAGATGCCCGTTTTGGGCATACGCCGTGAGCAGAGCGTTCCATCCGACCACGTCCTTCTGAGGCATGCTATGGAAAGTCCCCTCGGCTTCGGCAACACACTCGCTCTCTCCAAATGCATCGATAATGGTCGTCCAAGACACGCTGTTTCTCTCCGGCATCCGATCAAACAACGCTGTTGCCTCGTCCAGATCTCCAGACTCGGCAAATACCAGCACAAGCGTGCTCCACGATACGATGTTTCTCTCGGGCATGGAATCAAACGTTTTCTTCGCCACCTGCGTGGTCCTGCACTGCGCAAGAACGTAAAGAACCGCGTTCCACGACACGAGTGTCCGCTCGGGCATCAGATCAAAGAGTTTCTTCGCAGTGGCAAAATGCCCGGCTTGGGAATGTGCTGAGATAAGGCTGTTCCATGGAATCACGCTTCTGTGAGGCATTCTATAGAAGATCTTCTTAGCCTTCTCAACATCACCCGCCTTAGACGACATGGACAGCATAATCGTCCAGCCGACGGCATCACGCACCGGCATCGTCTCAAAGAATCTCTCGGCGTCGGCATGGTACCCGTTCTGGGCATAGGCATTAAACATGATGTTGTACGAGATCGAGGTGGGCTCTCTAATCCCATCAAACACTCTGCGAGCGCATTGGACGCTTCCGTGCCTGCCATAGCCAAGAACGAGGCGCTCTGCCAGTACTTTGTCCGCCGAAAGATCAAACTCCTGCCTAATCCTGTCATGAATGCGCCTGACTTCGATCGCGCTCCTAGTGGACGATAGCTGGTCGATGAATCCCTGGTTTCTACTGGCAGTGGCGGAGTGGGGGAGCGACGAGACAAATCTCCTCATTCACAACCTGGCCGCCCCTCCATTCTCCCTTCCCAGATCACGTCGATGGCGATCGCAGCTCCACCTTTCCACAAGATTCTGCGATTCAGCTAGCCCAAGATCGGGACCACCACACCACAAAGACAAAGATCTCGACAATCTCTTAGTGTGAGTCGTTCAGGTACAAATCAATCCCACCAGCTGCAGTTATTACCCTAATCTTCTGTGGGTTCTAGTACTACAGTATGGAAGTTGGTGCTTTTGTTGGATTTTCATTTCCGGTTCTAAATTGCCTCCTATAGGACCGCTGTTATGGGCGAAGCAATTAGGCAGACCTTCCGCTTTATGACATCGTGTGCTGTCCCTGACGAGCATGAAGGTGATGCCGGGACACCCAAGTGGTGTTTATAAGGCGAGGCTCTTCAGTGAGAATTCCAGAGGCGTAGGATCTTCCCAGAAAGATGAAGATCGTGTTGCTAGCATTGGTCTTGTCTTGCATTGCGATCTCGGGTCTTGCGGAAGAAAAGAAGCGCAATGCTGGTTAGTGCCATGCCCTTCAATCTCTTTCGATCGGTATATCATATCATGTTGTAGTAACTCTTTTATGATCTTGCTCGCAGACACTGCAACGCCAGGTAGACTTATGCGAGAAACTGCTTGCAAATATTATATGATTGACTGTTCTTGGCTTTTGATTCCTTCCGTTCTCTTGTGCAGTTGCTCGCAAATTGCTAACTGACGGCGGTATGATCCTAAGTATAGTTTGTAGATTTCTCTAACTCTGTTGTATGCTGGCAATGCAGGATATTACAGTGACTCCCCAAAATCAGGCAGGAGTTTCTACATCTTTGCTGCTACTGACTCTAATCCATGATTTCATTTGTGCAGCTGAGGCGCCCAAGCCGAAACCAATGCCAAAACCAGATGCGAATCCAAAGCCAAAACCGAAGCCCAAGCCCAAGCCAAATCCACAAGATCAACCAGAACCAAAGCCAGGTCCCGAGAGATTTATTGGAAGTTTGTCACTGATAGTCTTTTTCTTCTTCTTCTATGATCAGGTTGCGACGAATCATCTCCAAAGGAGCCCGAGCCGTATATGCCAATGCCGGATATGCCCATGCCGGATATGCCAATGCCGGCAATGCCCATGCCCATGCCCATGCCCATGCCCGATCCCTTTACCTCGTATAGTACGCCCGGTACTTCAGACGACCCTACGCCGTCTTCCCCTTGAAAATTATACGAGTTTAATGTAATACCTTTATTTGAATAAGAAAAAGTGTTGCGAATTGTTTCTAGGGTTTAGGGATTTTCGAGAAATGGCATCGCATGACGAGGAGATTTGCGCGGCGCTCACTCGCCTGGCGATGGCGGGCGACGGCATCGTCCTCGGCCTAGGTATGGCAGCGCTGGCGCTCCGGACCTGGCTCAAGTTTGGCTCCCACACCCGGGCGCTCAAGCAGGTGGAAGGCACGGCGCAGGTAGAAATTCACGATCTCCGGAGCTTGGTCGAGAGCGGTGAGAAAGAACCATCGTCGGACTCTTCCCCGCCGCTGGTAATCGTGAGAGGCCGAGTGGCTTTGCCGCCAAAGACGAGCAGCGAGGAGGTCCTGCTTGCGAGGAATCAAACAGATTTGGCAGTCTTTGTGGAGAGAACGCAGACTGTGAGCATCTCGATTTCTTTCTTCTACTTAGAAAGAGAGTTTACTGATCTTGTGAGCATTGGCAGTATCTGTTCAACGAGTGGAGAGGACTCTTTCGGTGGGGACCCGAATGGCGAGGGCTTTTAGGCTGGGGATCTCTCAAGGAGCAAGTCGCCTTCTCCAGGAGGAAGGTTAGTCGCCAACTTTTGTTGATGGTCTCTCAGTTCTTGTGTTTTCTTGCGACTTTTAGATCCCGTTTGTTCTACTCGACAGTGATCCTCAATACGATGGTGCTTGTGTTCACATCAACATGGAAAATGTGGAGCATCCTTTGCCGCTTGTGACGGTGTTTCACCAGCTGCATCCAGTTCAAACATCGTCCTCCACTTTTCTTCAAGCAGTCTTCGGTCGACGGTACCCAGTACGCACAAAGATCGTTTTCCCTTGGACCACGAAACGATTTGATTCTTGTTTCTTTTGTCAGGTTGGTGTCATCGACGAGGAAAAAATCCTTCCACTCAACCGAGAGATAACCGCTGTAGGATTCCTGAGCAAACATCCCCAAGGCCTCCCGGCTATTAAGTCTTCCAACCAGATGCCTTTCTTCTTGTAAGTACGCCTCAATCGTTTTTGACACTAATGCTTTTCTCCTGAGCCAGGACGGAGTTTAGCAGGGAAGAACTGATCGTGGAACTAGCCAGCGCCACTCATGCTCTTTTCTGGACTGGGATCGTGATCAGCTCTCTGGCACTGGGAGTTATCGGCTATTCTGCCTTCAAGTAAGCTCTCCTCTTCTGTCTCTTCCATTCCAGCGAAGCTAACGCTCGGTCACTCCACAGGAACTGGTGTAAATGGAAAGAGTGGAGAAGGTTGCGGCAAATCCAGGAGGAGCTGCGCCGCGAGGAGCAAGTGATGGAGGAGGACGAGGAGCCGGCGACGACGCAGGAGGGGTCCGAGGTCCCGGACGGGCAACTGTGCGTGGTGTGCTTGCTGCGGAGGAAGCGAGCGGCATTCATTACGTGCGGCCATCGCGTCTGCTGCATGGGATGCGCTCGCCGAATCCGCCACAGCCAGAACGCGGCCAACGCGAGGTGCCCGGTGTGTAGGCAAAGCGTGAGCGGATATATCAGGGTATACGACTGATTTCTCGGCCGATTCTTCCGAGTTCCAACAAGATGGGAGGTGGCGAGTCAAGTGGTAAAGTTGGCGACAATGTGTAAATAGAGAGGATTTAAGAAGGGAAAGTTTCAACGTTGCGGGGATAGCTCAGTTGGGAGAGCGTCAGACTGAAGATCTGAAGGTCGCGTGTTCGATCCACGCTCACCGCACGACCTGTTCTCTTTTTTTACGACCTTTTCTTCCTTTCCATTTTTTTTTTTACTGGATTTGATGGTCAAAGTTGAAACGAGTAGACAAATAGTAAAACCCAGCGATTTCGCGGGCGCAACAAACAAACTGGAAGAAGAGTGTGTGCGTGTCACCGTCGATGATCGCGATATCAAGGGTCCAGATGCGCGCATGGGTGTTTCCACTGATCATCCATTGATCCCGTTCTCGTGGCCGCCGGAGAGAAGGAAGAGTGATTTTACTCTGAAATTTCAGGGGATTGGAGAATTTGGAGGAGGCGAATGGATTTGATCCTCCTGCTACTAGCGCTGCTGCTGGGGATCTTTGGAAGCCATCGCGCGAGCAGCCAGAGCCTCAACGCAACGGGACTGGAAAAGTTTGTGGACGAGCTCCCGCAAATCCCCGTCCTGTGCGCGTTCCAAGAGGAGCAATCCGGCGCGATGATCAAGCCCGCGAATCTCACAATCGGGATGTTTCCAACGAGATGGGTGAGACCATACATTCGATCTTTCGATCGATCTCATCCATGCTGTGCTGTGCTGTGAATTCGATGCTTCCAGAAATTCCACCGCGATCTCCCTGCCACGCCAGTGTTTGCATACGGCCGGAGCCACAAGGAGGCGACCATTCCAGGGCCAACGATCGAGGCCCGGAATGGCATCCCCGTGGAGATTACGTGGGAGAATCACCTCCCCAAGAAGCACATCCTGCCGTTGGATCTCACCATCGCCACGGCCATTCCGCGCCACGGCGGAATCCCCACCGTCGTCCACCTCCATGGCGGGATGAACGATCCCGCCAGCGATGGCCACTCGCTCGCCTGGTTCACGCCCGGATTCAAGGATCGCGGCCCGGCATGGCGCGCGAAATCTTCCTTCTATCGCAATGCGCAGGGCGCCGCCAATCTCTGGTATCACGATCACGCCATGGGGCTTACCAGGGCGAACATCCTCGCCGGGCTCTCGGGCGCGTACGTGATCCGCGACCCCGCGCTGGAGCGCCGGATGAATCTCCCCAGCGGCAAGGATTTCGATCGCGTCTTGATCATCGCGGACCGGGATTTCAACAAGGACGGATCGATTTACATGAATTCCAAGGGCAACAATCCCAAGATCCATCCGCAGTGGCAAGTAAGAGCGAAATCTCTGGATTTCTTGGTGTTCTTGGAAGAAGTTCTTGCGATCTTGATCGATGTGTTCTTGGTGTTCTAGCCAGAATATTTCGGCTCGGTGATCCTGGTGAATGGAAAGGCCTGGCCTTTCCTCCGCGTCGCCAAGCGCAAGTACCGGTTCCGGATCATCAACAGCAGCAATGCTCGATTCTACGAGCTCCGCCTCTCCGATCATAGCGCTGGATCCTCCAGCGACGACGATTCCGGCTCGCTGCTGACCTTCACGCAAATCGGCTCCGACGCATTCTATCTCCCCCGCCCGATCCGCGCCAGGCGACTCACGATCGCGCCCTCGGAAATCCAGGACGTGATCATCGATTTCACCCAGGCGCGACGGGACAAGGTCCTGCTCCGGAACACGGCGGCGTTCCCATTCCCTGGCGGCGACGCGGTCGATTCCAACAATGGCGTGGTGATGAAATTCCTCGTCGCGGCCAGATCGTCGCAGCAGCTGGATCCCAGCACAATCCCGCGCTTCCTGGTTCCCATCCAGCGCCTGGCGATCGAGCAATCCTCCAGCGCCCGCCAGATCAACCTCTACGAATTCGTGAGCTCCTCCGACGAGCCGACGCACCTGTGGATCAACGCGCTGCCCTTCGACGCCCCCGCCACGGAGACGCCGCGATGCGGCAGCACCGAGCTGTGGAGCGTGATCAACCTCACCGAGGACAATCACCCGCTCCACCTCCACCTCGCCGCCTTCCAGGTGATCGACGAGGCGCGGCTTAGCAGCGCCGAGGATCTCCGCCGATGCCTCCTGGCCAACGGGAACAGGATGAACGCCTCGTGCAACGCGGAGCGATTCATCGATCGATCCAGCCCGAGGAGGCGCCCGCCGCGCAACGAGGCCGGGTGGAAGAATGTGTACAAGATGAAGCCCGGGTACCTCACCAGGTTCCTCGTGCGATTCGCGGGCATCGACGGGCGGCCATATCCTTTCGACGCATCCGCGGAGCCGGGCTACGCATACCACTGTCACGTAAGTTCTTCCAAGAACCCTAGAAACGGGTTCTACCGTACTCAAGTACGGTAGAACACCGTACGTTCGTACTACATGCTGTCCGTACGCACGTTCTCGTCCGTACTGACACTTCTTGTCGTTCTAAGCTTTTCTCTTCTGGCTTTGCAGATTTTGGACCACGAAGACAACGAGATGATGAGACCATTGAAGCTGCGATAGTAGAGGCGCCAAATAGTTCTACCTTTCCAGATCCTTTTCGGCCCCTCCAAATCGTGGACACTGTTGACAACGAAGAACTTCCAGGCATGCTTTTGTTTTCTTTTTCGCTCTCGCTTTCGCTGTTTCTTTGCGACGAAAGAGAAAGCTCAAGCACGCAGAGTTTGCCGCCTAAAGTTCTCGTGCTCAAGTGCTCCAACTGGCGAAAAATCTCGTCCCAGTGCTCGGCGGAATATCGAAACCACTAGCGCTCGCACTCACAACATGCATGAAGTCTAGATGCCAGACATTATTATGTTTGCCAAAAGAGCGTCTTGTAAAAAGAGAAAACCAATAGACCGTTTTTCAAAATCTCCACAAGTATAAATCTAAGTACCTGAAAGCGTGGCCATGCCAAGAGAATGGAATCCCCAGAAATATCAAAAGAAATCATCGCAAACGAACTATCTGTACACTGTATGTGTGTGATCACGGGGCAGATTATTTCTTCTTTTTCTTTCCTCCGCCACCACCACCACCGCTCTGCACAAACTTCCGGCCTTTCTCGATCGACTTCTTTAATTCATCCTTCATCGCTTCTAGTCCCTTTTGTTCGTAGTCTGAGAGGCTTCCTAGCTCTAAAATCTCGTCCACTCCCTCTTTCCCCAACCGAACCTATCAAGCCATTGCGCTATCAGGAACTTTACTCGTTTCACATAAAAGAAAAAACGTACCTTGGACGAGAAGAACGACAACCCGGGAACTACTGACGATTCCACGTACGTGCATTCTATCACGTTATTAACACCGTTCAATCCCTTTAAACAGGCCTCGGCAAAGAGAGCTCCAGCATATCTGGATAAAGTTGAAGAACGAGAGTGAGTTGTTAACAATGGAGTTCCTGACAAAAAAGAGAGCTTACGCCATGGATAACGTCGCAGAGCCTTTTCCTGCTTTCGCCTTGACAACCTCCGTGCCACCGTCTTGTGTCCGCTTGGTTAGAGCATCGAGCTCTTTTGTTGACAAGGAAACTTTGGGACTTGCCTGTCAGCCATGCAACTGAGTTCATTGAACGGGTTCACTATATAATTCGAAAGAATGATCTGTTGTAAACCAGAAAAATGCAAGAAAAAACAACCTGAGAGAAAAGCGGCAAGATAGTGGCGCCAGCGTGACCTCCAATGACAGGAAGATCAACCTCTTCGATTCAGAAAAAAAAAAAGGAAAAGAAAGAGATAACGATGTTAATTCCTTTAAAAGTGATCACAGGCACTTTCTTACCAGATGGATTGAGCTTCTTCGCTGACGCCAAGAACGTCCTTGCTCGCACGACATCAAGCGTAGTAACGCCAAACAATCTGTTGGGATCGTAAGTCCCAGATTTCTTAAACACCTCCGCTGCTATAGGCACTGTCGAGTTCACGGGATTGCTGATAATATTCACCAGCGCCTGACGATAGTCCAAAGATTAGAGGATGAGAAGCAAGAAATGAAGGTACCTTGGGGCAGTTCTTCGCAACAGCGGTACACAACGTTTGGACAATACCAGCATTTACGTTGAAAAGATCATCCCGATCCATTCCCGGCTTGCGAGGAACTCCAGCTGGGATAATGACGAGATCTGCATCCTTGAGGCATTTTCCAAGATTTTCCTCTCCTGCAAAGCCTGCCACCTAAAACCGGAAGTTAGAAGAGAAAGAGAAAAACGAAGGACAAAAATTCTGGCAATTTTTCTCTTTTACCTGCTTAAGTTTTGAGAAGGAAGAAATCCTGCCCAAGAACATCACAGCAACAGCTCAAACTCTACCTGTGCCCTGGAATTGACGTGACTGACATCCGCGGCGACGCCAGGAGTGCCCACAATGTCATACAAGCCCAAATCCGACACGAGAGGGCTGAGCTTCATGAGCAGCGATAGCGGCTGGCCGATCCCTCCATTGGCACCCAGAATCACTACCCTGCGCTTGGCGGAGGACGCAGACCTCGCGAACGCCCGGCGCAGCACGAGCTTGGAGGCCTCCATCGCTGTAGCCCTAAAAATCCCCGCTGCCCTAAAATTCATGTGATTTTAAGCGCCATAGAGAAATGCCACGCTGGCATCAATGTCTTGGCGCGTAAGATTCGAACCCACATAGCATAAAGAAGCCCTAACATGGTTTTCGCCGCCAAGGGGTGACCTAATCTTGGAGCCACAACAATATCCAGCGGTTGGGCGAATCGGAGGGGAATTGGTGTGGCACGTGGCGCGCTCCCGTTGGGTAGCGCTCTCTATGCCATTGTGCCTTGTCTAGAAAACCCTTACTCTGATTTCGCCGCGCACAGGAGCAGAGGAGCGCCGCGAGAGAGAGAGAGAGGCTCTCGATTCTCCATCGCCTTGGATCGCAGCGATTGTGGCAGCGGTCGGCGGCGCCACGCGGGTGAGTGAACGCTTGCTCGAGCGAATGATTGATTGACTGATTGATATTGGATTGAGCTAAAGCGGCTGATTCGTGTTTTCTAGGGTTCGTGGGAGCGAAATTCACTGCCCGTGCTGCGATTCGAAGGCGCTGCGAGGCTCCTGCGCGTTGCGACAAGGGTGGCTGCAGTAGTTTCTTTTATGTCTGAAGGCGTCGCCATATACTTGGGTTTGGTTGGGTTGCTTGGGCAGTACTGCCCTACAACGAGGAACAGACATAAGCCGCAAGAGCTCGCCTCTCTGCCCGCCATCGCCACCGCCACCTTGGTGCTGCATGCGGCAACTCTCGGCCCCCAGGAAGAGCTCCTCCAGGACCCCGGCATCATCCTGAGCTGATCCTCGCCTCCAGCGCGTCCTCTTTTTTCTTCCTTCGGAAACACCAACATGGCGCTCCTCAACATCGGTGCTAGCAACAAGGATGACGCCTTCTACAGGTACAAGATGCCCCGGCTGGTGACCAAGATCGAGGGCCGCGGCAATGGTATCAAGACCAACATCGTCAACATGGTGGACGTTGCCAAGGCGCTCGCCCGCCCCCCGGCCTACACGACCAAGTACTTTGGCTGCGAGCTGGGAGCGCAGTCGAAGTTTGATGAGAAGACGGGGACCTCGATCGTGAACGGGGCTCACGACCACGGGAAGCTGGCGGCGTTGCTGGAGCACTTCATCAAGAAGTACGTGCAGTGCTATGGCTGTAGCAACCCGGAGACTGAGATACTTGTGAGCAAGGCGGGGATGATCACGCTCAACTGCGCGGCTTGTGGCTACATCTCCAACGTGGACATGCGGGACAAGCTGACGACGTTCATTGTGAAGAACCCACCCGAGCAGAAGAAGTCGGGCAAGGACAAGAAGCTGCGCCGGGCCGAGAAGGAGCGGCTGCAGGAGGGCGAGCTTGCGGACGAGGAGATGAAGAAGTCCAAGAAGGAAGGTAGCCGGAAGAAGAAGGACGAGGACAAGAAGGCGCCCAAGAAGAAGCCCGGGTCTGACGAGGAGGAGGAAGTCTCGCCCGTGGCGAGCCAGGCGGACGACGAGGAGGTGGCGGAGGACGAGGACGACGTGCAGTGGCAGGCCGATACCTCTGCTGAGGCGGCAAAGCAGCGGATGAAGGAGCAGCTCACCAGCGTGACGACGGAGATGGTGATGCTGGCGGAGCCCGAGGAGGACAAGCCGGTGGACTCCCCCCGCGTGGGCGTCGGCGGCGGCAAGTCGAAGATGAGGAAGTCCCTCTCGTCCAAGAAGTCGGATATTAAGGAGGCCGACATTCCCAAGCTCCAGGAGCTGAGCCTGCACGACAAGCTGGTGAAGGATCTCAAGGCGAAGATCGCGAGCGGCTGCTCCGCCGCCGAGGCCGCGTCCCTGGTGCTCAACAAGCCGGATCCGCCGCTGGACGTGATGGTGGCCTACTTCCAGGCTCTGTTCGACGGCGTGAGCAAGGATCTGTTCAAGGAGGTGAAGAAGTCCAAGGAGTACCTCGAAGTGGTGGTGCAGGACGAGAGCTGCCAGAAGAACTTGCTGGTGGCGATGGAGGTGTTCGCGTCCACCGGGGTGGACGTGTCCAAGCAGATGCTCCTGGTGCTCAAGTTCCTGTACGACGCGGACGTGCTGGAGGAGGAGCACATCCTCGAGTGGTATTCGTCCAAGCCATCGCCGCTGGTGGGAGCCAAGGCCGAAAACGTCAAAAAGGCGGTGGAGCCGTTCATACAGTGGCTGGAGAACGCCGAGGCCGAGACCGAGACGGAGGACGAGTAGAGGATGCTACGCGCTGGGCTGGGTTGGATTTCTTCTTCGTTCTTTCTTTCTTTCTTCCATCGTTTGATCGTGTGCGTGTGTGTGGCTTGCTTCTCTATGGTGTGTTGTTCATCCTCTTCACGAAATAATAAACTTTTATAATGTTATGTACCCTTATAGTTTAAGAATACAGGGGAAGGAGAGCTCTAGCCCCCTAGGGTTAGGGTTCCACGACGGGCGCTACTATCTCTCTCCTCCATCGAGGTAAATCCAGGCGGCAGTGGAGGGGGAGATCGCCATGAGATTTGCGCATCACGGCAGCAATGGAGGGGGAGACGCTGTCGGATTCCATCCGCAGGGAAAAGGGAGAAGCCTTTTGCGCGAGTTCTTGTGACGCCGGGGAAGGGAGGAGAGAGAGGGCATGGGGTGATCGTCCAGTCATGCGGGGCAAGCAAGAACAGGAGGAGGAAGAACAGCGCCACGAGTGACGACAATGGCGGGCTCCTTGTCAATGTCCAAGACGGAGCAGATCATTGTCGAGTTTTTCGTCAAATGCCTCCACATCATTCTCGAGGCCAGGATCCCGTGCTCCTCCTCCAACTCCTCGTCGCAGCCAGGTAGGGATTCGCCCTCTCCGGCCTCCTCCTCCTCCTCCTCCAAGGACCGCTGGTTTAATCTGGTGCTTGGGGACTGCCCCGCGGCGCTGGAGAGCGCGGAGCCCTGGAGGAGGGGCCCCGGAGATCATCCTCCCATGGTGGTGGACATTCTGCTGGATAGATCTTCCGGGGATCACAGGTTTCGTGGAGGAGGAGGGCCGGGGACTCCGGACTCGTGGAGCGAAGGGGAGGCCGAGGACTCTTACGGGACAGTGCTCGAGAGATGGACGATCAGCCACGAGCGGTTTAGCCAGCGACGCAGCGGGTCTAGCAGCAGCCACGCGCTAGAAGTTCCAGGGATTTACAAGCGCGCCACCATCCTCGTGAGGACGCTCTACTGCTCGGTCCGGACTCTCCCGGCCCATCGCCTCTTCCACCTCGCCACCTCGTCGTCGCAGAGCCGGAGCTTCAGCCTGGGTTTCAAGGTCTGGGCGTCGCCGCCACCATTGCTCCCGGATGAAGCGGCCATGGAAGTTCGCGGCTTTGCTCCAGTGGAGACCCCGATGGGCCGGCTGGCCGTCTCGGTGGCGTACCGCCACACCACCGCCGTGACCGCGCTGGAGGTGACTCCCGCGATTCTTCCCAGGATCATCGCGGACTACGTTGGCAGCCCCACGACGGATCCTTTGCGGAGGCTGTCGGCGGACTCTTTCACGGGGTCGGTTCCTTGCGGTGGGATTTCTGGAAGGCGGGGAGTTCACGTTGTCTCCGTGCCAACTTCCGTGCCGAGCCCGCCATCCGGGATTGGACGCCGCCACAGCTGGGGTGGCGGGCTCAACAAGCTCCAGTCGCCGACGCTTCTGCCACCTTCGTCACCATCTTTCGGCAGCTCGCCTTCCTCTCGCCAGCACTCCCCGGTTGCTCCTCCGACTACCAGGACCAACCATAGCCAGCCGATTCCAATCTACGAGCAGCAGCAGCAGAGGTCGAGGCTCTCTCCGCCGAATCCCTCGCCGCCGGGGACGTGCCACTCGCTGGAGAGCAGCCTTGCCAGATACTTGCCTAGGCACTCCACCGCGCCGGTTAGCATCCCAAAGCCTTCGAGCGTCCGGGGCCTGCCCGACAGGAGTGCGCTTCCTCCGCCAACTCCGAGGAGGAGCTTCGAGCAGCCGCCCCAGCATGTCTACGCGAGCTCTAATCTCTCCGGTGCCCGAGGGGATGTGCCCCCACGGCTGTCGGCGTCGACGCTCGCAGAATCGATGCTGCTGATATCTCCTCCTCATCCATACCAATCGAGTCAGGTAAGCATGTTTCTTACGGTTCTCTTTGTGCCGCTTGTCTGACTTTGTCCACTTAGGGAGATGAAGGGCCTCCCTCTGGTGTCAAGCGTTCCCTCTACGGCTCCCCTCGCGTCTCGCTGTCGAGGTCGTCCATCAAACTCCGTGACGACACGGACGACGAGGAATTCGCTTGTCCCTTCGCGGTGGACGAGGACGACGAGGAGCTCCAAAGCAGGTTTGTTTGGAGTGTTTGTTTTTCCGGATCTTTTCTCTGTATCACACTTTGTAACTATCAGAAGTCCCCGGACTCGACATACCAATGTCTTCGAAGCCTCCGGACCAAAGTCGCAGCATGCTGCGGTCGGCGCACTCGTGAGGCTTCTCAAATCAGCCCCGCCACTGCAGGGGCGATCGTGGTCGCTAGCAGGAGGAGAGGTGGACATGGCAGCAGTGGCATCGCCCGAGGCGACACACCAGGTGGTGCGATCAAAGAGCCGTCCCATTCCAGGAGCAGTGCAGCAGCACAGGTATCAAGCAAGCGCGGCAGCGTATCAAGCACCGCATCATGTTTATCGACAGCAGCAGATGACCAAGAGCCTCAAGACAACGAGCGAAGCGCTGGAGGAGCTGGAGGTGTACAAGGATCTGCGCAAATTCATCCTGACCGAGCAAGGAAGTGTACAGGCAAGCAGACAATGAATTGTGTATATACAAAACAAGAAAAAAGTACCAAGTTTGGACAACATTGATTTTTATTATTATTGAAATTCGATTGATCCATCGCTCGCATGGATCACAGACCCAAGCAAAGAATTTGCAAACTTGGATTCTTGCACAAACTTGATATCTTGACAGAAAAAATTAAAAAATAAAAAAGGATTTTCATGGGACAATGGCTTTAGTCTCGTCGACAGGGTTTCGCTTTTGTGGTGCGATCAAGCACAATGCCGCCTTGATCGCCAACAAGAGGCGAGTGTCTTTCAAGTTGCGGCTTTGCTTAATTCGTTTTTGCTTCGTCACTCCAGGCAAGTTTTGGCTATGGCGAGTAGCAGTGGCAGGATTGTGGATAGCCATTTGCACGTCTGGGCGTCAAAGAAAGAGGTTAAATTGTCGAGCTTGGAAACAGATAAGTAATGCTTGTTCATCAGGCACAAGACTTTCCGTATTTTCCTGGCCAAGAACCCACAATCGATGGAAGCATTCAACTCCTTCTCGATGTCAGTTGTTTTTCTTTTCTTTCTTCTCTCTGGATCAAATGGGTGTTCCGTGTCTCGGCTTTCAGAAGCTTTGTGAGGCTAACGTTGCTGGCGCTCTGATTGTCCAGCCCATCAATCACAAGTTTGATCACTCCTACGTAACAAGGTGATGTTCTCTACTCGTTTGCAAGGATCTTTGTCTTCCAGAAGCACCAATGTGGAATCAGCAGTGTGCTGCAAAGCCACCCTGAGAAATTCGTTGGGTGCTGCTTGGGAAACCCCGAACAAGACGGTCGTGGCTTGGCAGAACTCGAACGCTTAGTTGAGCATGTAAGTTGCTTCTTCCATTTTTCTGCTTTTGCTACAAACTTTTGCCTCGCAGGATGGATACCGGGCTGTGCGCTTCAATCCATACTTGTGGCCGTCTGGAGAGAAGGCAAGCCTTTGACCAGAAAGCTTTTGTTCCAAACTCTCTCTTTCGTGCACAGATGACCAACGAAGTTGGCAAGCGAATGTTTGCAAAGGCCGGGCAGCTTGGCATACCGGTGGGATTCATGTGCTTCAAGGTAGACTTCACTTTAAAGATCTCGTGATCCTTGATCTTCTTTGTAAATGAATCAGGGACTCTCTCTTCACATAGAGGAGATCGAGACATTGTGTTCTCTGTATCCATCGACCACTGTCTTGATTGATCACTTTGGCTTCTGCAAGCCGGCCGTGTGAGCTGCTCAAATTCATAATCCAGCTCACTGTTGGCTTTACTCTTCTGTGTCGTGTTTCTAGCACCGAAGAGGAAACTGCGACATGGAACTCGCTCCTGGGCCTCGCTCGATATCCACAGGTTTGCTTACACTACATATAATCTTATGCACTTACACAAAACGAAAAACTTCTTCACAGGTCTACGTCAAAGTGAGCGCATTCTTTCGGGTGTCGAGAGAGTCATACCCGTACAAGGATACTTGGACAATGCTGCGTCGGCTGCTGGATGTCTACGGTCCTAGGAGACTCATGTGGGGAAGGTCAGCAAGAAGTCACAAAATACGATCAGATTGACAATCTTTCCTTTCTTGTGGCAGTGATTTTCCTTTTGTGAATCAGGAGTGTGGATACGCTAACGCGGTAGGCATTCTACACGCTGCGCGTGATCACGGTACGGTGTCCCGAGACGAGCTGGAGTGGCTGCTCGGTAAGACGGCAAGGCAAGTCTTTGGAGGTGTTTGGGCGGCAAGCAGCTGAAATGGTGTGATTGAGACTCGACACATTTCAAAGAACAACATGAAAACTTTTAACACCTCGTTTACTATTATAACTCTCAGTGCTCACACACATCTATACATTCGCACCATCTGTGCTCACGGTATTGGAACTGGTCCATCACCTGCACATTATCAGTCAGCAAAGCTTTAACACCGCATATCTGAAGACGTACCTGGTTTTGGCTCATCACCGGGTTTTGGAAGTGGGCCTTTGCCTGGAGAAAAAGGAAATAAAGTAGGTAGAAAGCTGATAGAAAAGTGCAAACCTGGCCTGGGCTTGTTTCCAGGAAGTGGTTTGCCTCCAGGACGCGGTTCTGCACAAAACAAAAAGTTGGAAACTGAAGAGGGAAACAGAAAAGACCTGGCTTTGGTTCAGGCTTCGGATTTGGCCTTGCTCTTCCTGGTTTTGGCAATGGTTCGTGATGAATGAATCGGTCATTGAAAACATGCTATACAGACCTGGCTGTGGCAAAGGTTCGTCTCCTGGGTTTGGCTTTGGCTCGTCTCCTGGATTTGGCTTTGGCTCGTCTCCTGGGTTTGGCTTTGGCTCGTCTCCTGGGTTTGGCTTTGGCTCGTCTCCTGGGTTTGGCTTTGGCTCGTCTCCTGGATTTGGCTTTGGCTCGTCTCCTGGATTTGGCTTTGGTTCGCTCCCTGGCAGACGAACACAATGACAAACTTGCAAAAAAAGGAAGTGTGCAGACCTGGTTCATCCCCTGGGTTTGGCTTTGGCTCGTCTCCTGGGTTTGGCTTTGGTTCGTTCCCTGGAAGACAAATACAATGACAAACTTGCAAGAATGAAGTGTGCAGACCTGGTTCATCCCCTGGGTTTGGCTTTGGCTCGTCTCCTGGGTTTGGCTTTGGCTCGTCTCCTGGATTTGGCTTTGGTAAAATGACAGGAAGAAAAATGACTTGTAACCAACCTGGCTGCGGCTTTGGCTCATTTCCGGGCGATGGTAAAGGATCAGCTCCTGGAGTTAGCTTGGGTTCGTCTCCGGGTGCAGGCTTCGTCGGAACTGGTACACCACCTGGAAAAACGAAAGAAGAAAGCATCTGCGAGTGTTATATAATGCGCCACTAAACAATAGAAACGAAGTACCTGGTCTGTCAATCAGCTTGCGACCAACTGCGAGGAAAAGCTTGTAAACAAGAAAAGAAAAAGAGAAGAGAAAAATCTCAGTACTTGGATTCAGCTGGTTCGTACCGAGTGTTCCTCCCTCGGCCCGGTCTGACAAAATGGAAGAACCTTAAGTTTCTGTGTGAGAAACCAGCGATATCCTTACTCTTGGCTCCATTCAGGCTCGACAATGCGATGTACGCAAACGCCAACAAAACGAAGAACTTCATCCTTTTCGCGGCTACGGAGCGATTGATCGATGATCTTATCTCCACTCGAGAGAAAGAGTGGGGTTTTTAAGCGCACCCCAAAAGTGACAGCGATGAGTGGTACATGGACTGCGTAACCACGCGCGCTGGACTGTCGTATGCACCTAGTTGCTGAAAAGACCGAGCCACCTTAATAGGCAATGGCCGGCTTTTTTTTTTCCCATCTTTCTTTGTGCTGGAGTTGCCAGCTTCTGTTTTATGCAGATGTCGTGCTCAATGGAGAGTGGGCCGTCCGTCGAGAATTTTGGAAGCACAACAGGTACGACGAGATATGCCTGCCACTGGGGGAGATTTACAAAATCGGTAAGGATTAATGATGCCCGTAGCACTACCAAAGTTTAATTTACTTGGAGTGGGAAAGGATCAAACTCGAGTCGGCCACGAGGGACTTCTTGTCCGAGGTTCTCGACACGTAAAATGCCCGCTCTGGGCATCAAGCGCACGGATCGCTCTCGACCTCAGGAAGGCTACCTCCATAGCTACGCGCCACCATCCCATGGTGCTATGATGAGAAAGATCAGAATAAATAAAAACAAAGTTAGTCATTTGCGCATCTTGCAGCGTAGGTGGAGTACATTTTTCTAAAGGATGCCGAGCTTTACGCGGTGGCCAGACTGCGCCACCACGCTCATAATTGTAAAATGGCGATGGGTTCTTTGGCATTTGCTTTTGGAGAGAAAGCATCTTTATTTGACGTGAGGAAAGAAGCTCTTTTCATAGTTTGGGGTGAGAGAGGATCGAACTCTCGACTTGAGCATGCCTCTATAGCTGTGACGCGCTGGCCCAAATTGTCAATTTGGGCAGTTGCAAGAGAAGCTTGAACTCCCAACCTTGGTATAAATCAAAAGCTTTAAGATCTACACATATTGCATTTGCAAAGTGTGTTGAGGAAAGCTTGAACTCCTCCAAATCTGTCAATAGTACGCATTTGGACAACCGCCCATTTTGATCCGGGATATCGTGCATGGAGTAATGTGTGCCTCGTGCATTTTGCTAGAGCACACCGGGTGAGAGTCAAGGTCACTCAAATTTATCGTGATGACGTTCTTCCACAAAAAGTTTGCAGTCTAGAGGTGAGAGAGGATTGAACTTTCGACCTGGGGGTGGGCATTTTGTCAATGACATGTGACAAATACCTTTCTTTGGCTCGAACTTTCCTTTCTGGAGCTATTGTAACGAATCCGGAAACGTGTCCCTCGGATGTGAGCTTCGCATGGAGTGATTTCAATCGATTTGGAGAGCATCTTCCCATGTATACGTGACGTAGAAGAAAGCAAAAGCGAGTAGAGGTACAAGCGAAAGATCTTTTCTCGTGTTTGGCATGAGGCCAGGCCGCCTGACGCGATTTCGAATATGCCACTGTTGACAACGGAGTTTCTAGCGGTGCTGGTTGCAGCATGGAGGATCCACGAACCCACCCACAGTGATAAAGACAACCTCAGACAAAACCAGGTACTATAAACTCTTCACACCTTCTCCATAGGCGATCGATCTTTCGCGCGAGAAGCTTGTTCCGCAACAAGGGATCCAAGAAACCCATTGCAAATGCGTCGCTCTTGCAGCCAGCAGTCCTTGAGCGATCTCTTAATTGGCGCCCCGGCTGTGGCCCTCTCCCCCCAGAAGAAATGCAACGTTGCAAACGGGCGAAATGGCATACGAAGGCTGCGCAAGAACACCGTTGTCAAGATCCTGGCTCGTCTCAACAGGGCCTCTAGAAAATCTTCGCGCGGCTTTGCTCTCGCCTCCAGAAGATGTTCCTCCACGCCCTCCTCGCCAAAAGTCGTGAGTATCGTCGAGAAAGTTCGAGTTCGAGCTGATCTTTCTTGTCTTGTCCAGTGCTTGGATGGATCTAAGAAAGATCATCGAGACAAGCTGGTGCTACTGAATTTGCTTGCTGCGCTCTATGGCCTTGGAAACGTAATCTCCAAGTTCGTGGACGCAGGAGCAGCTCCAGCAACTTTAAACTCGGCAGTCAAATACGCGTCGGCGTCGCTTGTGTTCCTTCCGTTTCTGATTCGAAGCCTCAAGAGCGACGATGGCGGCCACATTCGAGCTGGAGTGGAGCTTAGCTTGTGGACGTTTGCTCACAGCCTTCTCTCGAGTAGCAGCCCGAGAAGCACCGACATGAACGCGGCTTCACTGCTCTATGCATTGACGGTGAGCCCGATCGTAAAGAACGCGTAGGTTTTGATCTTCGTTTTACAGGTTCTTGGCATTCCCGTCATGCAGCTCTATGCCGGGAGATCAAGCAAAGTTACATGGCTGGCTATCACGGCGGCTCTCCTCGGTAAGTTCGTGGCCTTCATGATCGTTTTGAGTTGGAATTGGCAACTTCTTTTCTTGTTAAAGTCGTTGACTTAGAACTTTGGTCGTCCATGGCAGGCATGGGACTCCTGGAAGAAGAAGGAGCTGGATGGAAGGGAATTCTTCTACCATCGTGTGATAGCACCTGGGCGATTGTCGAGGCATCCTTCTCCATCCTCCAGCTTCTTCGATCGGAATCACTTGGAAGGAACCGAGACCCCGTGCGATTAAATGCGATTCAGCTGTCGCTTCTCTCGATCCTCAACGCTGGAGTGGAGCTGAGCCACCTCAACTCCTGGACTAGTCTCGTGAGCGAAGCACAAACGCTACCGTGGTGTCCTCTGCTTTTCAGTGGCCTCGTCTGCGTCGGCCTGGGGAGTTTGCTGGAAATGCGAGGCCTTCGAGGAGTGAACAGCTCCACCATCGCCATGAGCAGCCTCATGATACCAGTTTGGGGAGCTTTCTTCTCGCTGCTAGAGCAGGGAAGATCCTCGCAGGAGATCGCCCTTCTCTCGGGGATGGTTCTCACGGTTGCCAGGCTTTCTAGCTTCTTCATGCATGGACTGCTACACCATCGAGACGACGAGGAGGAGGATAATAGCAACAGCCAGCAAAGTTCTCAAAAATCGGGGGTTAGAAACCATCTTCCAGTGATGATCTTATCGTGCCAGTTGAAGTATCCATACTACGTTAACCAGGCCCAGGCTCTTCTTGGAGATGTGGACTCGAGCATGAACTCCAGCCTAGAGCTACTGGAAAACACGAGCTTTCCCGATCACCAACAGCGAGAAATCTATCAAGTGAAGGCTTTGCATGATCATCTACTAGTAGGCGCATCCGATGGGATTCAAGGGAGTGGTCATGCTGACTACTCGCTTGTAGACACAACTGTTCATATCGTCACGAACTTTAACAACACCTTCGTCGCCTTGAGTGTGAGTACGCTGCAAACGTTGGCGAGCTGGGCAGACAGTACTCTCACGATTTTTGTAAGCTAGATCTGTAGAAGTATGATGAAAAGAGCAAGGCTGCAATTGTAACGATGACGTAGGAGATGATCACAAGCCTTCCGAACTCCTGTAAATGAAATACAAGACCATCCATCAGGTACCTGAAAGAATATCACCACCTTTGGATCTGGTGCTAGAATAGTTATAACGAAGGATAGGAGGGTCATCAGCGATTGCAAGGCGCTTTGCACGCCACCAATTCTTCCTCTCTCTTGTTCTTCGACTGTGGACTGGATCACAAAAATGAGAGGAAAGCCAAGCTTAAGTTCTTGCCTGCATGAGCTGGGTCACGGCCAGATCAAACATCCACAGGCCCAGTCGAGAAGCTACGATTCCAGAGATAAGAAGTGATGCCGCGACGCTGGTCTTGTGGATCCAAACCGAGGCCACGCTCACCATCAAGCACAGCCACTGCACAAAGACGTTTTGAGAGAGTTCTTCCGGGATGTTTTCTACGAGAGGGGCATTTACTTGAGTCGAGATGGCCCAGAGGCCTGCTTTGCCGGTTCCTTCCCTGGACTGGAGAACTGGATACATATATGTTGCTGCCACTCCTAAGAATGCTCCAAGGCCTCTTGCAACACCAATTATGTGCGCTGGCACTCCCTTCCATGCCAATGCGGCAGTCATCACAAATCCAAAGCTGGGAGAAAAGATAGAAATATTGAAGAGGAAGTTTATTCGAACCTTAGAACTGTGCAGTGGAGGACTGCCAATGCCACCGCTGCTAGCACCACTTCTTGTCTGAAGTAGCTCGCCCATCCATCGATCATCGCAATACAAGCTCCCTTGACGAGTTGCGTGACTCCGGTTAGAGCTCTAGGATCAAGTTTATCCTGACATTTCTTGGATCTGGAGAGCTTCTGGAGCGCAGGGGCGCGGTGGAAGACGGTAGACAAAAGCCGATACTCCAGAGCGAGGCTCAAACCATTCCACGCGACAGTGGCGATCAAGCAAGGAATCGCCGAGAAGCTGCTCAGCCAGATCCCCACGAATGCGGGAGCCAGCATCTTGCAAACCAGATCGATCCGCTTCATCGCCGAGTTGATACGCGTGAGGCTCTGCCCCGGAAGCTCGCCCAATGTCACAGCCCTGTGAAATCAAGAGACCGTTAAAAGAAATCCCAAATCCCTAAAAACAGAGGACTCCGACCAGTCCCGCTCGAGCAGGATTCCCACCGCCAGCCCGCTGAGAATCCCCACGGCGCCCAGGGAATGGACACTTGCGATCGCGAGTTTCCTGCCCAATGGCGGGATTGATCCCGGGATGAGCAGCGGCGAAAGGGCAGTGGCGGACAAGGCGATGGACACGTTTCGTGTCCCGATTCCAAGCCGGAGAAGCTGCGCATGGTCACACAGAATTAGAGGAAAGAACGATCGCAAGCGTTTGGCTTTGCTCGCCTTGATGTGGCTGATTTTGTCGACTGCGCTTCCAATGGCAGCGCCGAATGCCGACGTTGCGGCGGCCTGGACGAGGCCATACGCCGCGGTGAGGAGCAGAGAATTGGATCCCACTCTCATGAGCAGCAGAGCGACCAGGAAATCCCACATTCTGCGCAAAGAACTGGCATGATCAATCCGAGAAAGATGGGATCCTGAGAGCAATTTACCCGGCTCCCCATCGCCCCAAGAACTGAGCCGCGTACAAGAGCCTCAAATCCACCACCTCTTCCTCCTCCTCTTCTTCCTCTCCTCCAAATTGATCCAACGCCACGAGAAGCGTCTGAGAAGAATTAAACTCCTCGCCACCATCGCCATCCCGACCGCAAAGCTCCCCGTCCACCATAGTGATGCTTGCAAATGCCTTGGATTTATCAAGCTTTCTAGCTACAGTCGAAGTATATATATACACGCACGCGCGCACAAGTCATTTAGTGCTGAAGTGGCCCTTGAGGAAAGCGATCATGTCGTTGTAGACGTCGTCCCGCGCTCGAGTGCTGAGGATGAAATCGAGGTGTGCATAATCCTCCACGTACAGCACCTTGGGGTTGCAAGTGAGGAGCTCCAGTGTGTGTGCGACATCTTTGGTGTCGGACAAGCAGTCCTTGCCACCGTAAGCCATCCACACTGGAAGGGCAGGAATGGTGGCGATGTCATACTTTGGAGGATGGAGCTGGCGGTAGTTTCGCAGATTTCCCACCCAGCCATAGTCGAACCGCTCATACGTGCCCTTCCGGATCACTGAAGAAGATCAAAGAGCTTTATCGCCAAGACAAGAGGAAGAAAGAGTACCGACTTTGTGCGAGGTGCTGCATGTTCTTGAGAGACGTGGACTGTGGCTCGTACTGCAAGTAGTATGGGATTCTCGACACGTTGAAGCAACAGTTGGGACCTAGAAGGAAACCACCAAAGTGTTTTGCCTGTCACAACGAGTTCACAGCTCGAGACCGGCTTACCAGTTATGGCCGCCAGAAGGTTTCCACAGTCCACTTCCGGATCTGCGCAGGCCTTGTCAACGAGCTCCACGCCGATTTCGCTGGACAAGCAGCAGGACTTGATTGAGCAGGAAAGCAAATCAAATCAGAAGAACCTTACTTGTGAAGGTTGAATTCATACAGACCAACCGCATTGCAAATCTGTCAGTGGGAGCCGGGTAAATCGAAACCATCTCCAGAGGTTGCAAGAAGCTACGTACCGCGTCAATGTAAAGAAATGCGGCAGTACGAATGAGCTTGGAGGTGATATGATCCAAGTACGTGATCGGGCTCAGGAATGCCGCACCAGATACCAGTCGAGAAGTTTTTGGTGATGTTAGCGCCGCCAGGCCTATGATGGTGCCCTGTGAAAACCGGAGAGAGGATCGAATTCAGCACAAGAAGAAACATACGTCCCACACCTGAGAATGGCCAACGTAAAACACTTCCGAAGATGTTGAGCTGTGAATAAACTCCAGTATTGCTGGGATGTCATACTCTGCGAGTTCGTCCCAAGACCAGTCCCAGTATTTCTGTGAATAATTTGTCATCAATCACACAAACCAATGAGGAGCACGGAAAGCCATGATGATCATGATCGAGAACCTTATCGTGTATGGAGAGAGTTTCGTGACCCCGGCTCCAATAAGTTCCACGGCCGTTGGAAATCCACACATCAAAACCTTCATCTGCCAGGATAAAACCAAGTGATTGCGATGGCGGATTCAGAAACCAAGTATCGCCCCCCTGGAAATCAAAAACAAGAAGAAAATTCTTTTCAGAGATGATCTCCCTAGTCATATCCCGAAACATGAAAAACTCTCAAACCTGGAGCAATCCATGCTGGAGCAAGACTGCCGGACGAGGAAGGGCACCACCCTTGCGAACTCCATACGGGATCCGCTGGACAGCAACGTGGAATCCATCTAGAGTGGTCACCTGTGTCGGGTCGATTGATCGTGAAAGAGGAGTGACAAGATAAGATCATTACCTTGTGCTCGAGACAAGGATACCCAAATGGCCGCACGAAGACGCTGCACAAGCCAGCTCCTCGATCAAGCGAGGCAGAGGAAGGTAAGGAGAGACAGAGGAGCACTGTGGCGGCGATTGCCCACATCCACTCCATATCCAGCCCTCTGCCCTGCCGTGAATTTCAAACATCCCTCTTCACAATATTTAAACCTTTAATATTCGACTGTGACTATTAGCATTACTAACAGGAGAACCAAGGTATGACAAGATCTATGTATGTACAAGATCAAAGTTGGTCAAGTGAAAGGTTCTGCGATTGCCTACTCCTTTTTTTCAGCATTCCTGCTAATTCTTTGCGGTTGATGTTTGGACAAATGTCACGAGGCGACAAATTGTTGTCTCCTGGAGGAACTCGTCAGAGCTGTCCGCTTTCTCCAGCTTGCTCCTTCCTCTCGATCTTGATCAGGGTTTCTAGATCCAAGAGAAGAAAGAAAAGCTATTTGATTAGCGAACATGGTGACTAAACTCGTGAAAGCAAAACAGGTAGGCTCCTCCTCTCTCGTCTTCTGCTATTGATTATCATGGGCTCTAAGTTCCTGCAGAAGCGCATGAAGGAAAGCCCGTATTACATCGGGCACAACACTACGACCAAACGCGCAGAGATCTCTCCCTATTCGGTGGATGTGGAGGATATCTATGAGACCCTCTACGTAAAGCAGAATGGAGGAGGAACAGCTGATCACTCGCCATACATCGCCACCCATGAGGAGGGAGAAAACATCCCCGACTTCATCCACATCAACCTGGAGAATGAAACTCCATCTCTACCCAAGCTGAGCAGGCAATACAGCACGAAGCAGCACTCGATCACGAATGCCTCGCAGGCTGCTAGTGACACTTTCGAGCGAGGGGGAGAAATCCAGTCACGCTTCGAGCTCAGCATCGATCAGGCCGACGCCTCAAACTCTTCGTCCACCATCGGCAAAGCTCCACCAGTCTCGTCCGAGAGCTTTGAGGCTGTGTTTAGGCCGAGGAACAACGTCAACCGGCTGCTCACGAGCTGTGCCATGAGCAGCACCCGGAATGCTCTCACCGTCTCGGGTGTGGCCGCGGCTTTCTACAACGGGGGATGGCTCCCTCCAGCTCCAGCACCCGATCATAACGTTCTTGGGATCAACGAGTTTATCGCCGAGGTGAGAGGCGAGATTGAGTCCGGATTGCCAGGACGCTCCTTGACTGTCGTCCTCGGCAGCTATTTCCCAGGTGATGATTACACTTACGAGCTGGTTTTCTCTGTAGCTCTTCTTTGTGGTTGTTTATCAGACCTGGATTCTGTGGTTTCAACGATTGCTTACGCTTACTTCCTTCACACCAAGCGAGAATCACAAAACCACTGCATTGTACCCGTCGTCAACATGAAGAGGAGTGATCTCCAAATCCACACGGAAATAGATTGGCTGTTTAAGGCAGTGCAGCTCGATGTAGAGTCTCTTGTTTTCTCGGATGAGGTGTGTTGTTGCCATCCATTTTGTTTTTCTTGCTTTTTTATTCTTTTGTGTTGTCAGATTAGCTTAACGTATTATCATCGATTTGGTAATCTCAGGCTTGTCTTAGTGGATCATAAGAAGCTCGAACCCGTCCACGAGGTACGTAATTTCAAAATATTTTATGTTTTGGATTTCAAGTTTGTCGCGCAGAGCTTAGGTGATGTGATCGTTGAAACGCTTGAACACAGCATGGTACTTTAGATAATTAACTGTACTACGAAACTAATATTCTTCTCACTTTTACTTTCAGACTGAAAAGAAGATCCTACAGGTGCTACTGGCTTGGTCTTTGTTTTTATTACAAAATGATTTTGTGATTTTTCTCTTTTCTATCATATGAAAGGTTGGCTCGTGCTGCACTTTGGTCGCGGAGAAATTCGCCTCCGAGGCTCCCAAGCTTTTACAAGGAAGAGGCTTGAGTCGACTTTTGGTAATCAGCTATAAATCCATGTCCGAGCTCTGTCTGATGGAAAAATGTGTGTAGCTCGCTGGAATTTTGATCGACACTTGCAACCTTGACTTGTCCATTGGCCAGTGCTCAAGCAGAGACGTCGCCATGGCAACTCTGCTCTTGAATGGGGCGGGACGCTATGGTCGCAATGGTTTCTTCAAAATGCGTAAGTATGCTTTACTTCCGTGCTCCTCCTCTCATGATGTTTCATTTCGTCTCGTCAGTCCGGAAGAGAGTATCAGACTTGTCCGTGTTGAGCCCCAGGGAGATTCTCAACAAACAGATCGAAGTCTGGACTTCGGCAGCAGGTTTGCATATGTTTGTCTATGTACTTGTTTGATCGGTTTCAATTCGTTCATGGCCTGCAGGTAGCTCGGGAAGAATAGCAAGGATCGGGATGTGCGCCATGGGCATTGCTTTGAGCAGGTTCCTCACTGTTGAAACGGGAGTTTCCGACGAGCTCGTCCACCTCCAAAGTAATTTTTTCGGTTCTTGTTCTTTTGGTTTCAAGGATGACATGAAAACGTTCAACAGGATCCAAAAAACTTGACATCTTGCTGGTTCTTACGAGCTACTATGACAAATCCGACAAGTTTAAGGTGCTGCTCTTCTTTTTTTTTTTTTTTTGCAAGTATAAATAATCTCCTTGTGACCAGCGCGAGCTTCTCATAGCCACTGAGGGCGAAGGACTGCTCCAAACACTAGTCGAATCTTACAACACCGCAGCACTGCAGCTCCACCCGATGGATATCATAGGCAGGAAGAAAAAAATCTTTATTTTTTTGCTCTAACACTTCTGTCATGAAGGATTGGGGCCATACACAAAGGCGTTTTCGCAAGGAAATATCACCATTTCTGGAGCTCAAGTTCGTCACATCACTAAAGGCCTTTTCAGCAGTTGCTGAGTTGAGTTTTTTGTGGATTCTTTCTAAAAGCTGATAAAGTTTCACTGAAATGAGATATGCATTTTTCCTTGTCGGCATCCATGTGCACAGGCTTCGCAAGCATCACGAGCGCAGCCGGGTTGCCAGGACTGAGCTTGAGAATCTCTTTTGCTGCTCTGTTTATCTGAGAAGAATCGGTAGAGCTCCTGAGCAGGGACATCCAGTCGAGCGCATCAGCCTCGTAAGGCATGCTCCACACGAGCTCCTCGGCCTCACGAAAGTATTTCGCTCGGGAAAGCAAGTCCACCATGCACGAGTAGTGCTGCTTGCTGGCTTCGAGGCCGTAGTCGAAGCTCATGGACGCAAAAAAAGACTTTCCAGAGTAGAGCTTGCCATCGTGACTACACGCAATGAGCACGGACGCAAAGCACGCGTCGTTGGGAGTATTCACCAAGTTGATCGAGCAAAAAATCCGCGGAGCTTCGCCCCAGCGGCCACTATGGCAGTAGGCCGCGAGGAGAGATCCCCACGACACAACGTCGCCGCTCTCTGGCTTGCGATGGAACAGTCGACGAGCACTCGCGAGGTAGCCGAGCTGAGCGTAGGCCGCGAGCATCACGTTCCAGCACACAGTGTCTCGCTGGGGAATCACGTCGAAAACTTCTCTTGCCTCTCGGATCTGCCCGCTTCGAATGTAAGCCACGAGCAAGCAAGTCCACGAGACGCTGTTTGGCTGCTCGCCACCGGGTATGGAATCCAGAACTCTCTTCGAATCGCGGGCATGGCCTTTGTTAGAGTACGCGGACAGAAGAGCTGTCCAGGAAACCAAGCTCCGCTCCGGCATCTCGGTGAAGGCCTTTCTAGCCTCCTCGATATGCCCTCTCCGGGCATACGCATCCAGCCTCGTGTTCCAGGTGACGAGGTCTCGCTCCGGCATCGCCGAGAACATGGCTTCCACGGCTTCCATCTCCACGTTTTCGCAGCGAGCAAGCGCCGTGACCATGGAGTTCCAGGACACAATGTTCCTCTGTGGCATTCGCCGGAACACGGCTCTTGCTTTCTCGATATGCCCGATGTGGGCATATCCACTCAGCAAGGAGTTCCAGGACACGAGATTACGCTCTATCATCTCATCAAATGTGAGCTCTAGAGCCTCAATGATTCCAGCCCGTGCATAGAGCGCTAGCATGCAATTGCCAGAGACTAGATCGTGGAAGGGCATTCGAGTGCTAAAGAAAATCTCAGCTTTGTGGCGGTGCGCGCTTTGGGAGTACGCTGCCAGCATAGAGTTCCAAGAGACGATGTCGCGCTCCTCCATTTCAGCGAATACACGAGCCGCCTTCTCGACTTCCCGTGCCTGAACAAATGCCGCAAGCAAAGAGTTCCACGAAACCAAATCCCTCTCTGGCATCATCGTATAAAAAATTATCACTGCTTGATCTATGCCTTTCGAGGAATACGCGGATAGAAGGCAATTCCACGAGAACATATTCCTTTCTGGCATTGTATCAAACACCTCCTTGGCCTCTTCCAAATGTCCAGACTGGGCAAGTGCCGAGACTAATAACGTTCCAGACACTAAGTCCCTTGATGGCATTTCGTCGTAGATTCTTTTGGCATCTAGAATCATCTTGCTTCCACAGTAAGCAGCTAGCATTGACGTCCATGAGACCATGTCCCTCATGGGCATCTCGTCAAATATTTTCTTTGCAGATTCAATGTGGCCGTTCTGGGCATAAGCAGAGAGCAGTGATGTCCACGACACCAAGTCATGCTCCGGACTTTGGACAAAAACCCTCCAAGCATCGACCAGTTGCCCATTCTTGAGGTAAGCATCCAGCATCAAGTACCAGGAGAAAGCATCTTTGGAATCGATGGAATCAAAAACTTGTCGTGCTAGAGCAGGACTTCCAACACGTCCGTACATGCGAATGAGCTTGTTGTGGATCCGAACGTCCACCGCAGTGTGGGTTTTGCCAAGAGTGTGGCTACTGATGTACTGGTGGATGTTCCTGGCATCCTCTAACCCATTGCAAGAATCGATGAGCTTGAAACACTCGTTCCTATTGAAGTTGCCACCCTTGATGAGCTCCACACAAGTTCTACACATTAGAAAACTTGAAAGCTTTATTTCGGTTTGTGGATCTTAGCATGCTTCATCGCAAGATCTACAGAACAATCCAAATTCCATGACCAGACTCGCCATCATTCACTCCATAACGAGAACTAATGAAGTGGACCTTGAGGTTGTTTGGAACGCACAGCTTGAGGATCTCAAGGTAGCTCACAAGCTCGGCATTGCCAGAAGCCACAGCGTTTCTCATCACAACGTCGTAGTAATGCGTCACCTCGCGTTCCTTCTCCTGGATCATCGCACAGGTTCTGTCCACCGATTCCTGGAGCGTGTTGATGCTGGGAATCCAAGAGCAACTGCAAGGACGCGATGCTTCTCAGTGGCTTTTTGGCGCGCAGCTCCGCGGGAAAGGAGATAACGTCGTTGACAAGGAGGACGTGGTCGTTGATGGCATTCTGGAGCGCCAGGTAGTCCCGCGACTCCAAATCGCTGTCTGGGAGCGCAATCTCCAGCGACATCTCGATGAATGGGAAGCAGGGGAGGAGGAAGCAATCGAGCCTCCTGCGGGCTCGACCGTCAACGCCGATTGTGCTAGAGAAAGGACGCTCCGGTCCATGGAGGCAGCGTAGGGCCTCCATCTGCGCGACCACACCCGGGGAGCCATGGATGATCGCAGGCGCGGAATGAGGTCCGCGCAGAACTCGAGCGATGGATGGACTGGATCGCGATGTGGGTGCGCCCCGTGGAGGATGCCCTGGAAAGTCTCCAGGAACTCCTCCCGGGGGGCGCCGCTGGGGGACTCGTCCTCGAGGAGATCATCCAGCATGATCGCGTTCCAAACCACGCGAACTCGGTGGATCCGCACGGCACGAGCATGCTCATGTAGAGCGGGATTCGCATGCGCTCCAGGGAGAGCTTTTGGGCATCGCTCATGCTGGGATTGATGAATGGGAATGCCCACTCGTTCGCGAGCTTGGCAACGAGCTTGTGGTCGGGATGCCAGGCGCTGGAGGGGATGGAGCAGCGAATGGGCCGTAAATAGAACCTCTTTAGCCCCAGGAGGTGTTCCATGGCGGGAATCTTCTCCACGGCAAGTGCCATGACCATTAGGAAGTTCGTGGAGGGCATTTTATAGTCGCCATATGGCAGAGTTTTGTGGGGTGATATCGAATGCTTGAAAATGCTATCGCAGTGGCTCGATTGTCATTGTACATCCCAGACGAAACATGGGGCGGCGGGACTATTGAAAGAAAAGTTTCATGCTCGTGTTTTCTCACCCCTCGTTGAAAAAACCGATCGATCCATTGTATTTAAGAAGGTGGCAGTCCAGTGTTACTAGCAGAAAAGAGAGATGGATCTCACACTTAGTGTCGTTGTAAGCTCTCTCCTCCTCCTTTTTATCCTGGCCGTCGTGATAATCAGCTACAAGACTTCTCCACCAGGGCCATGGGGATTGCCCTTGATTGGCCACCTCCACTTGCTAGCGAGAATGCCCCTCCACCGAGCGCTGCAATCCATGTCACAAAAGCACGGCCCCATTGTGTCCTTGAGCCTGGGAATGAGGCCAGCGATCCTAATATCAGCGCCAGCTCTGGCAAGAGAGCTCTTCACCTCGCAGGATGTGAATTTTCCATCCAAGCCATATACGAGTGTCTCAGAGCACATAGGCTACAACTTTAGAAGCATCGGGACTGCCCCTTATGGCGAGTACTACAGCAGCATCCGGAAGCTGTGCCTGACGGAGCTCTTCACCGCCAGGAATATCGATTCGTTTTCATGGATTCGAAGAGAAGAGCTCTCGCATCTATTGAGTGCAATTCTCAGCAGGGCCAGCCATGGGCAGGCGCTGGATTTGAGGAAGACCCTGTCGGTGTTCACATTCAACAGCATAACCGGCGCCCTCATGAGCAAACGGTACCTCAGCCACGATACCGGTGCGGCTAGCTCAAAGGAGGCCATGGAGTTCAAGAATTGGTTAATCGAAGTGTTGCAGCTTGTTATGGAGCCCTCTTTGAGCAACTTCGTGCCTTGGTACTTGAGATGGCTTGACTGGAAGACTCCTGGATTGAGACGCCTTCATGCAAAGCTGGATAAGTTCTTGCAAATGGTTGTGGAAGAACACAAGAAGAGCACCCGAGAGCAGAAGGACTTCCTTGACATCCTGCTCAAGGCTTTCGGAGAGGAGGAAGCTTATGCAAAAGCTAATCTGTTGGTACGTGCGTGAGGATGAAGAACAAGATAGTGCTTCTGACATTCATATTCTTTCTTTCAGGACTTGATGGTGGCAGGAACTGAAACTTCCGTCACTGGGACCGAGTGGCTTATGGCAGCAGTGATCCAGGAGCCCCGGATCCTGAAAAAAGCCCAGCAAGAGCTTCACGATGCCGTGGGCAACAGGCGGATGGTGCAAGAATCAGACCTCTCCAAGCTCGGCTACCTCGACGCCATCATCAAGGAGTCACTCAGGCGCTACCCAATAGTCCCGATCTACATCCGCGAGTGCCAAGGCCAAGCGTCAAAACTCGGGGGCTACGACGTCCCAAAAGGAACCATCGTGATCGTCAACTCGTGGGCGCTGGGAATGGACCCCGTGGTGTGGGAGAATCCCACACAATTCTTGCCGGAACGCTTCCTCGCGAGCTCCATCGACATCAAAGGCCAGGACTTTGAACTCCTTCCATTTGGATCTGGGCGGAGGAGATGCCCAGGGATGCCCTTGGGCCTAAGAACCATGAAGCTGCTCGTGGCAAATCTCATACATGGCTTTGACTGGAGTGTGGAGCCTGGGAAGATCCAATCCATGGAGGATTGCTTCAAATCTACTTGCATCATGAAGCATCCACTGCGGCCAGTGGTTACTCCAAGGCTGCACAAAGATGCCTACACTACCCAAATACATGATTTCTTCATATGATAAATTTTAATTTAGCTTTTTGCGAGATCCAAATGTACAATTACAAAATTATATACTAATATTAGTGTAGTGGAATTTTGGTAATTAATATTAACGTAGTGGAATTTTAGTACCTGTCGGATTGATTTCAATTTAAACCATTCACTTGAGCTAGGGTTTTTGGATTAATTAATATATACATTTTTTATATTCCCTTTTTCATATCCCTAAGGAGTGTTTGGATTTGGGATTTTGGTTTAGATTTAACTTTAGTATCATCTAGATCTAATTTTTTCCATTTCCTTTCTTTTATTTATTTCTTTTAAAATTTTGGTTTAGATTTAACTTTTCCATTGTTTAGATCTCCTTTTCCTTTTAGTTTTTTTCACTTCTCTTCTTTTACTCTTTCTTTTTTATTCATCTTCATAGTAGAGCAGTAGTTTTCTTCTCTTTTGACTCTGGAGCAATATTCATCTTCATAGTAGAGTAGTAGTTTTCTTCTCTTTTGACTCTGGAGCAATATTCATCTTCATAGTAGAGCAGTAGTTTTCTTCTCTTTTGACTCTGGAGCAATATTCATCTTCATAGTAAAGTAGTAGTTTTCTTCTCTTTTGACTCTAGAGCAACATTTGATGCAATTGCTTGATGCTATATGATTGCAATTGAACAACCAAACTTAGTTGATGGCGGCATTCATGGCATGTGGTACAACTCCTCCTACTCTTGATGCTAATCCTCACGTTCGGCTGGAGTTCTTTTATGGGAATCCTAGAGATGATGTGTACCATTGGTTCGATCATTTCACGATGATTGCTATATATCATTCTTGGGATGATGCTCGACGTTTGCATGAATTTCCCATGTGTCTCCAAGGGATGGTGTTGGAATGGTACAATGGTTTGAGTGCAGCCACTCGTAGGGATTGGAGTGTTCTCCCAAACATCTTCAAACGCGTTTACAAATATGCTGATGATTGTGATGATGCCTTCTAACAATTGCATCGTTTTTGTCAAAGGCCATCTGAGTCTATAATGCAATTTGGTGTTAGTTTCTGAAGCCTCTTGCTTCATGCAGAGTTAAATATGTTGAAGCGGATCAAGTTGGGAATGTTATAGCTAACACTTCATCAAGATCTTGTTGAACTTGTGCATGCATTTGCTCCAACCACCCTTGATAATGCTCTTCGCTTGGCACAATGTTATAAAATATCGCCTTTTCCACTTCTCGTTGCATGTCCTTTAGCTCCACTTTCTGTGGGCAATGGTCCTATTTCAATGAAAGTTGATGTTGCTGCTGCTCGAGTCCAAAGACAAGTGCGAGGATGTGGTCGTAGTTATGATGTTCATTGCTAAGTGTGTGATGAAGTTAGTCACACTGTAGTGTATATGATCATGGGATGAGATTTGGATATACTGTCACCGTGGATCCTTGGAACCTTAGGGGATAAATAGGGATAAAATAGCCACTAAGGGCTCTCTCATCAAGCAATTGCCCCAGTTAGCTTAAGAGGAGAAAGATAAGGTGTGCTACATGTGGTATTAGAACAAATGGCACGGAAGGATTGGTACATTCAGTGCGGAAATGGAGGTGTTGGTTCCTCTTGGCTTTGGTTCCTTTTAGCTCAATGGGGGTTGTTATTCAATAGTCAATAAGGACATTGACATCTCTGAAGGGGGGGTGAGTGTAGCACATATGATCATGGGATGAGATTTGGATATACTGTCACCGTGGACCTTTGAAACCTTAAAGGATAAATAAGGATAAAATAACCACTAAGGGCTCTCTCATCAAGCAATTGCCCCTTTTCCAATTGGCTTAAGGGAGAGAGATAAAGTGCATTACACACATTTATCGACGTTGTTAGTGTTTTTCAAATTGGCAACCTCCATTTCTTGGATGGAGAATTTGGCATCAATAATGTTTTGTTAGTGTTATTACAGTGGAAGGTTTGGACACCAAGATGCATCCGGGAAACGAGGAATCACCCAAGTAATGGAGGAACCTTGCACGAATAAGTTAGTGACCCCTCCATCTTTCTTGCAAGAGTATTATCAAGGGGTTCACTTAGCACCAGTTCATCTAGTGTTTACTTTCCAAGTTCGTTTTTATAATAAAAGGTCTTCTATTATTCTCTCCGTGTTAGTTGATACAGGTTTGAATTTATCTTTTATTGTTTGACCTGTTGCCACATATTGCCATCTACATTTGCATTGTGTGGCAGAGCCAGTTTTCATTCTTTATGGCAACGGCTGTACACATACATGTGCACTGGATGAGGTGGACCTAGTTGTGGGTATAGGCAATCTTAAGCTTGAGTTGCAGTCATTGTGGGTGGTGCCAAGTCAAACTTTTGACTTCATCCTTGGTATGGATTGATTGCAACATAATTATGCCAAATGTGACTTTGAGGCTTCTCCCCCTTGTCTCATACTTCCTTATATTTCATCCATTCCTTTCACTTCCATACCTTTTCGTCCCTTTGCTTATACCTCTACTTCAATTACTTTTGTTTCCTTATTACTTCCTCCTATGTTTCCGTGTTGTTCCACTTTTCCCTTTTCCGATCCCTTTGATAATCTTTGTATTGTAGCGGTTGACTAGTTCATGAAAGAGTATGGCGATCTCTTTGATTTGAGGTATTGTCTGGGGCCAAGATTGCCACATGTCATCCAATTCTAACCAGGGATGCTTGTCTAATCAAAGTTCATGTTTGTTATTAGTCACTCAAAGAGATCAAGATTTTACATGCAAACATCAA